ACGAACGAACGTTTGTATTTGGAATTCGAAAGCAGTCATCAAGTACAAAGTAATCATCAGTTCATACAAACACCACATTTTATCTACTCTCCTTTTCAGGTCTTCAAACTTGCAGCAGTAATAGAATTTACGTTTGTTTTCAAGGTCTTTAAATTTCTTACTTAAGCTTGAGAATGAGAGGGCTTTGAAGTCGTGCGTAATTTTTTACACTTCGATCACATTGTCGACAAGTAATCAAACCTTTCATTGGAATCGTCTTCAGTGATCAATGAGGTAGGCTATCCACTAAGAATTCTTAAGTTTTCTAGACCCAAGATAGGTAGTTCACAATCGGTGATGAGGAATTCACAATTTGGGGATGAAGATTTATCTTCTCTAATCAGCAAATTACAGCACCCAAGAATAAAAAGTTTATGACCTGTATAACTAGAAACAGAAACTTTGATAGGCTTAATTGTAGCATCGGGATTTAATGACTTCAACTTTCCAACTGAAATGATGGACAAGATACTGCCAATGTCAACAATAAAATAGTGGTACGCAACAACCGACAAATATGATCATTTTTGAATATGAAGTGAATTATTAGAAGTTGTAGATAAGGATGGTATATTATTATTATAATCATCAAAATTAGTAGGATCTGAATGATAAAGTCTAGTATTACTTGAGGTGAAATGAACAGTGGTTTTGCAAACCGACTGGATATATACCATTCTAACACACTTAAATCATTTAGCATGACGAGAGACACATGGATGACGTTTTATGATTTATTTATTTATTTAAACACATATATATTGGTACAAAAGGGCACCAGATACACATGTGCCACACAAAATAATGAAAGTAGGAAGAGAAGGGATGAAAAGATAACGCGGACTAAAATGTACAATCAGAAGACACTTCCAGCTAAGAAAGTTACAACCACTCTTCATGTACAAAGTAAAAGAAGGTTGCAGCACGATCGCCACTGGCTTCTATTCTGAGCCATATCTGATAACGTCTCTAGCCACTGTGTTGCACCATCTCTCGGACCCCAGCCAGGGAGTCGTGAAGGACCAACGGAAGCTAGCCCTTTGCAGCTCTCTTTCATGCCACGACACCATGTCATACACTGACCTCCTCTCCACTTTTTCCAACCAGTCCCAGAGTCGGCAAATAATGCACGGCGTCGAAGTCTCCGGGACGACATTCGTATAACACGTCCAAGTCACCGAAGTCGGTGTTTAAAGATGGTGACACCAATTGAATTATCGTCTCGGCGCCCGAACACACGATGCCGAACCTCTGCATTACTAACATGGTGTTGCCACTGGATGTCAGCAATCCTTCGGAGACAACGATGATCGAACACAGAGAGACGTCTAACATCCTCAACTCGGAGAGGCCAGGTTTCACAAGCATAGAGCAAAACTGCTCTCACCGACGCGTTGTAGATCTGATCTTTTACAGCCAGACTTGCACTTGGAGGGTGCAAAGCACATGCCGAACCTGCAGACACTGATTGCCAACTGATTAAGTGCGGATTGCATGCCTTGGGCATTATCGCACAGTAAGACAATATCATCCACATACTCGAAGTCGAGAAGTCGTTCTCCAGGCAACATATCCACACCGCCATTACTTACATCCATCAGATCTGTTTCCATGATGTTGTCGATGGCAAAGTTGAAGATTAATGGTGAGATTGGGCAACCCTGCCTAACCTCACTGCTCGAATGAAACAAGGGAGAAAGGTGGTTGTATGCCCTCACTCTGCCTGAGGTGTTCGTATACTGGGCCTTTAAGATGTTAATGAACTTCGCAAGCACACCCTTCTTCAATAGACAATCCCAGAGAACAGTCCTGTCCAACGAATCGAAGGCAGCCCTGATATCAAGAAACACTACGATTGTTGGCCTGCGATGACGGTGTTCTAACATTTGGCGGAGGGTGAAGATATGATCAATGCATCCTCGACCAGAATGAAAACCAGCCTGCTCCTCGCGAGTCAATCGTTCTCGGGTTTTAAACAACCTACGAAGAATGACAGAAGCCAATAGTTTGGACGCAATCGGAAGTAGACTTATCCCCCGATAGTTGTAACAGGAGCAACGTGAACCCTCTTTAAAGATAGGGTTGATGTTGCCGGAGCAGCAGGCCATTTGAACTGCCCTTCGAAAAATCCCGCACATCGTCCAAGACGTCGAGAGATGTTAGTGATTGGCATCCCATCATCCTCGTAGATTGTTTCACTCACACCAGACTTCTTGCTGTCAGTGGCTCGGATGAGTTGGAAGAGCTTCCGGCAGTTACCAGATGCAGCTGCTGCTTCCATCTCATTAGCACGCTCTGACCACCAGGCTTCTCGGTCCTTACGCAAGCTTTGCCCGATTTCAATACGTAACAGCCTTCGTTTGTGGTCAAACTCACGGTCACCCGGAGTAGAACGACGGGATTCCATCAGTTGTAAGGAGCCAGAAGAAACCCAGTGCTTGTAGGCGGGACGTTTCGCGAAGCCGCAAGCGGCTTTACTCGCCATTTTCATGGCGTCGTGAAGATGCAACCAATGCTCATCTATACTTTTCGGTGGTATGGTAGCTAGCCTAGAAGCTAACTCCGCTCGATACTTACTTGCGACAGATGTTGTAGCCAGTTTACTAATATCAATCCGTTGGTGGTGGTCAATCCTTCGGCCACTGAAAAGTAAGGTGGGATTGGCGCAGACCAGAGCATGATCAGACTCCAGATAGGTACTACAAAAGGAGCGGCAGTCTTGTACACAACCACGCCAGCGGTAGCTGATCGCGATGTGATCAATCTGAGTCCAGGCTTGAGATGCAGAGGGAGGACGCCAGGTGGCACACCGGCGATGACTGTGCCGGAAGTTAGTGCTAGCCAGAAACAGGTTGTGGTCTGTGCACAGTTGCAGCAAACGGTCCCCGTTATCTGTCCTGCGACCAACAAGTCCCCATCGGCCACCTAAACGACTCTCTTCTGTGCCTAGACGCCCGAGCTGAGCATTCAAGTCTCCGGCTAATACTACAATATCTGTCGAACGCGCTTTCTGGAGAAGAACTGTTAACTGGTGGTAAAAGTCATCCTTGATTGCATCCGGGCTGCAATCTGTCGGGGCATAGGCGGAGATGACGAAAAAACACCGTTTCTCACGCCGGTTTCTTCTCACTTTGATGGAACTTTTTAATCTAACAGCACATAACCGACTGTTAATGGGGATCCAATCGATTAGTGCTGCCTCAGATCTAGCGCTTAGTGCAACACCAACGCCTGCAAGACCAGACGAAGATGCCACAGAGTCCCCGGATAAGCGCACATGAAACAAGCTTTTCGAAGCGACAGAAGGAGAGCGAATTTGTAGTACTTCACTAGAGTCTTGAATACGGGTCTCGGATAGACAGCAAACATCAACATTAAGACTTTCTAAAGACAAAGCCAGCCCTATCTGTTGTCCGATCTGCATTAGTGTGCGAACGTTGAAGGAAGCCAGGTTGGACGGTGTACGCGGTTTCAGAAAGACTGCTTCAGTATTCATAATCGGTGGAAGCATTCACTTTCAACCCGACAGCGACTGGAGATCGTTTAGATAGGACAGAGTTTCCACCATGGGCGAGCTACTGCATAAGTTGGAAAGGAAGGATACACAATTTGAGAATAAAGGGAGTGAAAAACGGGGAAAGAGTTGAACTAAAGTAAATATCTACTTTTTCAATAAAACAATTGATGTGTTCTGTCTAACTCAAGAGCTCATTAAGTTTATAAATTTACTTTGAAAATGTTGAACGAATTGCGATTGACAATTGTATATAATTATTAATACAAGAACTATTGAAATTGTAATCATCTTGAGAAGTTGTGAAACTGTAGAGGTTCATTCCTCAATATATTTGACTCTAATAATTAGTGTCTTGTTAACTGAGTATTTGATGCAGATTAAATCTAGTAGTTTTACGAAATTACTCGTGATTATTCAACAGCTTGAACATCAGTTTTGGAGACAGTTTATTGTCAATGATTAAAAGGAATATATAGAGTTGAGATCATGAGTCAATTGGAGATAGACCACCATGGAAAACCTGGAAGCACTGGACGGCCGTTTCGTCCTATTATGGGACTCCTCAGCAGTGCGCATCCACGAACCCACTCTCGCGGGATTCGAACTCAGGACCTACCAGTTTCGAGCCGAAGCCCTTAACCGATAGACCACTGAGCTGGCATCCAACGGTGTTAATGTCTAACTTCAACTGATTCACGAAATTGAGCAACCATTCACCAATGTCATCAGTGAGTTCCTATCTCACAACAGACCTGGTTGAACTCCACCGGTTACTGCTTCTCACTAGAACTCCAGGAAATACCTCAAGGAGTCAGTCACTAGTGAGCATCTGATTATTATCAGAAGGGGTTTTGTGGAGATTTTAGTAATTTATAGAGTTGAGATCATGAGTCAATTGGAGATAGACCACCATCGAAAACCTGGAAGCACTGGAGGGCCGTTTCGTCCTATTATGGGACTCCTCAGCAGTGCGCATCCACGAACCCACTCTCGCGGGATTCGAACCCAGGAATCCCAAAGCATGCAGAGGGCAGACACTCAGTGAAGTGAGAGTGTGTGTGAGTGTTAACAATCAATATATGGTTTATAAGTTTTAATTAATTGTTGATAAATTATTAATTGTCTTTGATTACAACCAATGAAACAAAAGATTAAAGATTGATGTGCAGACATGCACTCAATCAGACTCACACATAAATTTGCCTAATGGATTAAGTATCTAAAATACAGCAAGTACACAGATAATACAATAGTTCAATGGGTTCACTACAAAACATCAGGCACGTTTAATTTACTAAATGGTGTTTGTTTTTCACAACAATTATTTCTCTCTTCATTTTGAACAATAATATTCATTTTCATCAAATAGAACCCAAATTTAGATTGAATATATTTCATACATCCAAATAAACAGTGAAGTAACAACGAAACTTCCTTTCGAAAGAAGCAATTTCAGATAACATCATACCTATTTAGAAGTGAATTCTTTTGTTTGGAAATTATAATGAACGAGAAGAACGTCCGTGATTGTGAGTATTAGTTTTGGATATTAGAAATTATGTTACTGGAATTCCGATCAACGTCAATAACCATCAAGTTTCAGTGAATGTAATGGGAACGGGAATATCAAAGTGTGATTCTTATCATCCTACCAATACTGAGAAACCAGCAAGCTTCATTATTATTTGACACTAGATGTATTATGAAAGCACAGGAAGATAATTACCAGATGATTCTCTTAATTAACTCATTAAGTTTTGTGAAATATGTAAAAGCGGTTAGTACTAAAGTGACTAAATGATCATCATCAAAATTAGTGTTCAAACAAAATGTTCATTCTGTACACACGTATTCATATACTTATGTTAGGTTTATCAAATGCAAAACCGGCTAATATCTAAACTGTTTTAAAAATTCAAGTTAAAAGGAATGGAGAAAATGACGAACAGTTTTTCTCATAATTTATTTTCTACCAGCAACATAGATGAAGCTGTTCATTTACGAAATTGGATAATTTTCCGTAGTTTAATTCACCAGCTGTTCTTAGCTAGACAAAAGATTAGAAAATAAGAAGCCCTGAGTAGTTGGTCGGTTATAGTATAACTCTCCTCATAAGTGTTAACCTAAGATTTCACAGGATATCAAACCTAGGACCTTCGGTCATACTCACATGTGTCTAACTTGTAGACCACTTGTAAATTAGAACTGTTTGGCAGACGTTAAACCACTTGCATCATTGTTTAATATTTTCATTTTGATAATCTTTCTTTACCTTCGGTTGAAAATTTACTTCTTGTTAACAGATCCAGTTTTGTGTCAATTACAGGGGATCGAATAAAGCATTTAGTCAATTCCATTTCCTCATGAAGCGTACTAGGCATTTAGTTGTACGAGTAGTTCAACTTGCAGTCATAATATTCATAAGTTATGAACTGACACGATTACTATTTCAATACAAATGGGATGAAAAATTCGGCATATCACGAAATGATGGTGATTTCTTCTACAATATATTACCACATGAAAGTTATTCAAGTTTGACGAGTAATTTAAATCAAACCTATTATGTTTCGTCACAAATGGAGAAGTATGAAAACAAAATTACACTCGGATTTACCGAGAAAGATCTTGAAGAATTATATAAAGTGAAATCTGCTCCAGCTGCCGTGAGTTTCTTTGAATGACTTTTTTACTAGATTTCCATAGTAATTGCTTAAATTGACAGGACTTCAAATTTTCTCTTATACATTGTGTCATAATCACTCTGATCCTACTTTTACTTTACAAATGAATTAATGACGATCTCCTTATTTCAGACTTTTATTTTACCTAATTACGATACTGGAAACACTCAAGTTGTACTAATGTTCTGGTTGTTTGGTCAGCGTCATTACGAAAAAGAAATTTCCGTGTCTGTCTCATCAATTAGAGTTGGACACAACTTCAATTAAACTAAAACTATGTTGGCAGTAAATAATATAAGGTCAGGTAGTATTAAACTGAGTTGACATCCCAGCTTCAATTGTTGAAGCAACGTCACATCATGTTGGGATGTTAAAACCATTTAATATTCTTGTGTGTATTAAAGTCATTAGATTTCAGAAAGCTAACACGTTTTCATAATTCATATTAAAATGGGTATCGATACAAAGAATCTTTGTATTATTGGAAGTGCTATCTAAAGGTCTCTTCCCCAAAAATAATCAAATGAACAGCGGTATTCAGCAGTCTTTTACCACAAGAAAATATGAATGTAGAATATTCTTTGTAATAACTGGTCATCAAACTCTACACCTATGCAACCGCTTTATTATTCAGAAGATGTAGCCAATTTTAAGTAATCACGTTTGTGAACTTAGAATTGATTGCAGATGCCGAAATGACTAATATGCCGTGCCGCCTTAAGTCAAGTTTTGAATGGAATAAAATTGTGAGAATAATTTTAGTATTAAATACAGTTAACGAAAGATGAGGAAATAATCACAGGATTATGTTGAGACAACTGTCCTTAATACCTTTAAAGACACTGTGCCTATATTTCTGTACAAAATTAATAATAATAATATTCATTTATTCATCGCATGTAATATGTTATTCACATATATGTTATTCATATATCTCAATTGTTGAGTCAATTTCTCTAGAGGTAAAGTCTATGGGCTGTCTATTGCCGTCAGATTCGTCATGAACTCAGACCTCCTAGTCCTATCTAAATGAAGATGATTACCAGTACTTACTACAGATATTTTAAAGTTTGCTGTAAATATTATGACCAAACTACTATCATTCTGTATAGAATTCGCTTATTGAATTGAAGTATGTCTTTCATTAATTGTTTTTTGCAGAGAAAAATAATTCTTAACTATGGAGACAATTACATCGATATTATTCGAAACTTCTCATTTTGTTTCGCTTGTGATTGTGAACTGATTTTCGATAGATCAAGATGGCTTGAAGCCGATGTTATAATCTTGACAGATCACTTGTATCCTAAAGGTCCAAGACCACCAAATCAGTTATGGTTCATTTTTGTACATGAACCTCCTCTAAAAGTCAGAATCGCGGATGGATTGGAAAACAAGGTGAGTTAAATACTTTCTACCTACTTCAGATGCTGGGAAATGTGAAAACATTTATCAAAACGTCTTTTAGTTTAATCAGTTGCATGAGAACGACCTTAAAACCAGCATTGACTCATATTAAATAAAATTTATCAACAAGTTCATCAAAAGTAGCATATCAGATCAAACATCGAAATTTAGTTTTTAGCATAAGGTAGTATTTTCAACATCTGTTATTTATTGTTTGTAACTCAAACGATATTGAGTCATTAGTTTTGGACAATAGGACACTATTAAGTAGTCTCCAGTTATGTTCACTGGAAATGTTAATGGGACAGTTTTGTGATCAGCATTTCCTTCACCATACCTTAGTTGTTTTGATCACTTCCAACATTAGCAATTACCTCTACTGATATAGTGTAAAAACTGAAATATTGTTAGCTTTCCGTTGATTATCCTGTGTTTTGGAGGTCACATGAGATGAAGTTTGATTCTTGTTCGAATACTGTGAACAATCTACCACCTTGCATATGCGGTTATTACAAGCAAGATGATAGTTCGTTAAGTACAGAAAATAATGAGTTTCTACTTGTTTATTCACTGACCAAAATGAAACAATTCAACCTCATTCCGTTTATGCAGGAAATCATATCATTATAAAATTCAAAGTGAAAGTTCATTCCAGTTGAGCAACTAGATATTCTGTATTTATAATCCTGGAGTTACGTAAACGTCCTGTAACTGGACGGTTTGTCTAACATCCAAGACTGTCATTCATTTGAAAGTTTTGGTTAGTTAAACAAACCACTCAATAAGATTGTGGAAGTAAGAACGTTTGGTAACAGTGAGGACTCGAGATAAATAACACTTGATCTATAAACATGTTCAAGAGTTTAGTCATATACTGGAAACCAAAACAGAACAATATTTTAAAACTGAAGCTATGTTTGGAATCTAAAGAAGCATAAACAACTCTGAGATTAACTTGGACCAATATTTCACTGTGATGTGTCACATATTTATCAACACCCGATGGGTTCATTATTACTTTACCCATATACCACTGTTAAGCATGTAAATTTAAAAGTGTGTAATTTGTAAAGGGTGATATTTGAATTCAACTCAATTTTTAGACGCATTATCTCACATTTACCTAGGTGTGCAAACTTTAACTGAATGTCTTTCGGTAAAACAGTATTACGTCGAGAATAATGTCAATAATATTACGGAATCTACAGTCATCGACATGAATATCCATCTCCTGAGATATTGCAGTAACAAACATATATGGATTTTACTTTATTTAGAAGTAGACCTTAATGAAATCGTATTATTTACAACTGTGCGGTACTGTCTATGAAAGTATTGAACTGACAGTGGTAGGGTTTGGAAGTATTTTCTTCGCAGATTGACGACTGCTTCTTAATAGCGAAGTGTATAATTGATTGAGTCTATCCTGATTATTTGCAATGCATTTTCGCTAATTAGAAATCATCTGCTGACACAAACGACTCGACGCAAGAAAAAAGGCATTCATGAAACATGCACTCATATTGTTCGATTACATGCCCCAGTTTGACGTGGCTTAATCCGTTTTCAAAGGGTACCAGAAACAATTACTTACTCGAAAACATCAACTCTCGAATTGGTAGTTACCAGTACATGACTAGTATAGCAACCATCCGACAATCAATTTTGATTATAGCCAATTTCGGTTAAGCTCTTTTTATAACTTACTTAACGGACATCGTTATTTGGATAGTAACAATTTGCATATTCTTTGCACTGCTATACCAATAGAGCACATGACGCTCTATCCGAAATGTTGACTACTTAAATATCATTCGATGACTCATACTCCCCCCCCATATATGTACGCACGCAAATACTATTATCAGCCTTTGTTTTGCCCTTATTAAATTTGACTATAAATTGCCTATGTAATTGCTTGCTACTCGCTCGCTTGCTCCTCGTTCGTTTCTTTCGCTTGTTCGCTTGTTCATTCGCTCTCTCGCTTGCCGCTCACTCGCTCGTTGATATTCGCTCAGGTGCTGTTAACTTTCTAACCTGAGTTATTCAACAATAAACTGTAGTTGCTGCCATCCTTTGTCATCTGATTTTACGCACCATTAAGATTAGAATTATAACGGTTATCGAAGTAGACGATTAACGAATCGCGGCACTACAGAATTGGATGCCTCGCCGAGCGAACACAATACAATTTTCGACGAGATTATTTCATTTCGAAAATTCAACGTACTCTGTTTCTATTCGAATTATTATCTGGATTATAATCATAATTGTGGATTTATCATATCACAATTTTAATCGCACGTACATTATCCCATAAACGTTATTGAACTTAACGATAATATTCATAATAAATAACGATTATTCACGAGCAATTGATATATTGGTGCAATTTAGTAAGTCTGTTCCATTTTATATATTGTACCATTTGTTGTTATCATTGTTTTCATCGATTCATTTCTCTCAGTGACAATTACGTTATATTCGCATACTATTTAATTTATTATTATTATTAGTAGTAATGTCTTTAAATAACGAAACAATCGATCTTTCACAGTCACCATCCGTGGGAGTTATTAATGTTACTATTCCCTCTTTTAATGTTACTGATCCTCAACTCTGGTTTATTAGACCTGAAAATTACTTCGTAGCCAATCGTATTATTTTACAGCGACATAAGTTCGGCTATGCAAGCTCACTACTTTCAGATGAAGTAGCAGTCAAGGTACGAGAGGTCCTAACTAAGCCGGATGCGGTGAATCCGTACGACGTATTGAAACAGGCAGTAATAAAAGCTCTCTCATTAAACGACCGGCAAGCTGTCGAGCAGTTGCTCAGTGAAGTGCAAATCGGAGATAGAACGCCTTCGCAGTTAAAAACGTATATGAGCAACGTAATTGGAGACAGAAATGTTGATAAAAATATATTTTACCAGTTATGGTTGCGACGACTCCCACCGAACGTACAGCAGATCCTCGCTGTTGGAGATAGCGATGTAGACATAGACAACATCGCTAAAATAGCCGATAAGATTTACGAGAGAATGAGACACGCGACTCCACAAACACTCAACTCCACAGTTGACGAAAGAATCGAGGCCTTGCAAAAGGAAATTAGTGCGCTATGCCACAAACTAACGAGTCTAAATCACAACGACAGGAAAAGAAGTTGGTCGCGTAGCAGATCAAGAGATAGAAATCAATCATTTTCTAAGGGACTCCCAGATCCTGCTATATGCTGGTACCATCAAACATTTGGGTACAAAGCTCGAAAATGCAGATCTCCATGTAAATTTAAACGATCCCACCGACTCTCAGTAACGACTACGAAAATCAACGCAGCTCCCAGGAACAATCGTTTATTCTATGTTCAGGACAGAGTGACAGGCGCGCAATTTTTAGTAGACACGGGAGCAGAGATGAGCGTCGTCCCCCCATTGAGCAACGAAAAACAAAATATCGATACTGCGCTAACTCTTAAAGCAGCGAATAGATCCGACATAAAGACATATGGCAAGCGAAAACTAACCTTGAATTTCGACCGCAATATTTCACTTCGCTGGGAATTTGTAATCGCTGATGTGCCCGTACCCACAATTGGTATCGATTTCTTAAAGAATTTTGACCTATTAGTAGATTCTCGACGAAACCAACTAGTGAATGGAGAACGCTCAGTAGTCATAAGAGGAGTGACCACCGATCTTGTATCTATGAATTTAGTAGTGTCAAAAGATAAGAACGAGCAATATAAGTCACTTCTAAATAAGTTCGCCGATTTAACGAGGTCATCATACGACAACAAAGATCTTAAACATACAGTACAGCACCATATCATCACGAAAGGTCCACCGACTAGAGTAAGAGCGCGAAGGTTGGACCCAAAAAGGTTAAACATTGCGAAACGGGAATTCGAAAAATTAATGAAACTTGGTATCATAAGGCCATCTAATAGCCCCTGGGCATCTCCGTTACATATGGTTCCCAAAAAGAATGGAGAAATCAGACCATGTGGAGATTATAAAGCTCTTAACAAGCAAACGATAGCAGATAGATACCCAGTGCCACATATTCACGACATCACTACCGAAATGGAAGGTGCTACGATTTTTTCGAAAATTGATCTTGTGCGAGCGTATTACCACATTCCAGTGGCCCCAGAAGACATACCGAAAACGGCTATAATCACTCCATTTGGTTTATTTGAGTTTTTGCGAATGCCATTTGGACTAACTAATGCAGCTCAAACTTTTCAGCGATTTATTGATCAGGTTGTTAGAGGTTTGACAGGAGTATACGCATATATCGATGATATATTAGTAGCTAGCGCTACTGTGGAAGAACATCTACAACATCTACGACAGTTATTCACGAGACTTCAAGAACATGGCGTCACTATTAACGTGGAGAAATGTGAATTTGGAAAGAAATCATTGCAATTCCTAGGTCATATGATAAATTCTCGAGGTATCATGCCAGTTCCAGCAGAAGTTGCTGCTATTCGTAATTATCCGTTGCCCGAGTCACAAAAAAAGTTACGACGATTCTTGGGACTAATAAACTATTATAGGCGATTTATTCCAAACTGCGCAGCAATACTACAACCATTAACGGACGCTTTGCGAGGACATATCCGAACATTCCATCTATCGACAGAGGCTATACAAGCTTTTGAGAACGCTAAGCGAACACTTCATGAGAAAATGATATTAGTACGACGAAAGAGCGAAGCGCCACTAGCCGTCATGACGGACGCATCGAACATAGCAGTGGGAGCAGTACTGCAGCAGTTAGTAAACGGTACATGGGAACCGATTTCATTTTTCTCGAAGAGATTAAATTCTACACAAACGAGGTACAGTACGTTCGGAAGAGAACTATTAGCGATTTGCCTGGCAATTAAACATTTCCGACATATGATAGAGGGTACCATTTTCACAGTGTATACAGACCATAAACCCCTCACGAAAGCATTAAACGCCAAGCAGGATAACT